TGGCTACATACGATAGCCCATGGCAACCCACCGCCACAGGGACTGCAGCCTATGCCATCGCCGGCGACTCATGGCAGCCCAGCTCCAGGTTGAGCTGTTGTTCAGCATCTTAGCTGTAGAGAGCAATGTCACTGGCCCTCATATGTGGGATCTGAACCGGGGCCCTCTGGCGTCCCAAGCGAGTTCTTAACCATCGCGCCACTCGGCCAGCCCCCCACTTTACTCTTTATGTCAATATAATCTGCAATATTTTACCCCGGGGCTTGGGCAGGAGTGATATCTAATACCTTCTCTTCCAAAGAATAATAATTTTTGTTTTTGTTTTTGTTTTTGCTTTTGTCAGAAATATGATAGTATTGTCAAAAGTACACAATCTGCTGTGGATTGTGAAACACATAATGGTTCCGTCTGTTCTAAGATTAAAGATAAAAAAATTTTCACCAGAATAGAAAATAAAGAAAAAAACTATGATATTGATCATGCTATCCCTATGTGTACTGAGCACACTCTGAGTTTTATGTACATTATTTACAGTTTTCAAAATAAGCCAGCACTTAGAAATTATTAACCTTACTTTACAGATAAGAAACATGTGCTCAGAGAGATTAAGCAATTTGCCCAGAGTCACCCAGCTGGTATAAGACACAGCCAGGAATTGAACTTGGTGGCAGTGGATTCTAAGACCCTTGTTCTTTTCTGCAACCTCCAAGGGTAGGAGATCCAGTGCTCTGGGCAGGTACTCTTTTGGTCTTCCTGTAAACACAGACTGCACAGCAGGCAGAAGGATCCCGAGACCTGTTTCAACACACTCAAGTGGCACAGCCTACTCTCTCTACAGTGGAAATATATCACTTCCATTTTTATCCCTAACCGAAGATTGTATTCACCCAACTTCGTACCACCACACAGCATCCCCAAGAAGAGAATTCTCAAGCACCCTCCTGCACTTTTTAACTTTGCAATGGCAGTATTTGAGAAAAGGCAACAAGAGTTGTGTATTTTAGGATTCCAAGACTCCTACCACATGTTTAAGATTGTAACAAACATAAACACAAATCGAAGCTGTCTTAAGTGTCTGCTCTCATTGGGTTGAGCCAGTGAAGCGGTGGCATTGCACAAAAGTCCACTTGTTCTCAGGGAAGGCACGGAGCACTTTCCTGGGGAGAAGGGAGGCCCGTCTGTGGTTACCGGTCTCTGGTTTCTCATTTTCATAGCGATGGCGCTTTCCCATAAACAGTCCCTTCTGCCCAGCGTGCTCTTCCCAGCCTTGCCTGAATGAATACCACTCCTTTTTTCACATCTCTGCTCATCGGGTGCACCTTTCTGTCCAGCTCCGGCCCCTCACAGCTCCCTTAATACAGTTTATATTTTTACTTTTTTGTGGGATCTGGCCAGGACTAAAACCCCGCCCGGGTACGCCTAGAGGGCAAGTTCGCAATATCTTGGGCCTGGCACTATGGGCTAGTCAAAGAGCCAAAGAATAATAATTATTACGCTTGCATTCTGTTTTATAACTATGTTTATAGGAATTCTTTAGATTATTTACTATATGGTTTATTTGCTTGTTGCCAATGTTTTTTTTTTATTTTTTATTTTTTATTTTTTATTAATGATAACGTTTCCATACTTGAGTCCTTCATTTTGATTCATCTCTTGGTTCTGTAGAAAATATCTTCAGGTGGCTTTCTATGAGTGTTATGTGAATAATATATTTTTGAGATCTTTGATATTGGGAGCTGTTGTCTTGGTCCTTAACAACTTGGCTAGGTCATACTCTTTTCTTTTCTACATTAAATAGGGACAGATCTGTACTGTGTCTAAGAGAAATGCATTGAGGATCATGGCACAGTATTTTTCCTTAGCTTCCAGAGCTGCTACAGGTATCCACCTATGTTTACAGACTGTGGTCAGTTCTGTTGGTTGGGTCTTGGAACGGGATGGGGATGTGAAGCACCTCCCACGTGTTCATCTCATCGTCTTTTCAGATGCCATCAACCATTAAATACTCATTAATTCATTCAGCAAATATTGATTGAGCACCTACAGCATGCCAGGGATTGTGGGAGCCCTTAAGAATTCAGAGGAATCGGACAGAATCTCTGCTCTTGTGGAGTATGTGTGTGTGTGTGTGTGTGTGTGTGTGTGTGTGTGTGTGTGTGTGTGTGTCAGGGAGAAAGAGGGACAGACCATAAACAAACAAATGAACAAGATAATTTTAGAGAGTGATAATTAGAGGTGCCATATGTACCTCCTCAAAGTGGTGTCCCTGGAGCTTTACAACATGGCAACACTGGAAAAGAAAAAAGAATCAAGTGATAGAGTGATGGAATGAGGGTGGGGACTCGTGTAATGTTAATTAAATTCAACTCTGCAGCAAATCCATTTGTTCACATGCTACAGTACCTGTTATGATCTTCCCTCTGAAATTGTAGCACTTTTCTTTGTCTTCGGTTTGCTATGATCTTGTTCTAGTAGGCGGGCCACGTAATTTTTTCCCCTTCTGTCTTCAAGGCCGTTGGCTCTGTTAGGTTACAGTTCCTCATTATTTATATTATGCTCCCAGCTGGATGACCACAAAGGTGGAGATGGGATAGCTGTATGAGGGCATCCGTGTCCAGCCTAGAGCCCCCCAATTCAGTGTATATGTAATGGTTGGGGTCAATAGATGGATCTTCAGCAAGTTCTAAGAATAACCCCAAGGACCCCACTGTTAGACTTGGGCCTGGTGAGCAGTACTAGCAGTACTGGGAGACAGCTTTGAGGGGCAGCTAAGAGTGTGGCCCCTGGAGTCATATGGGTTTTAATTTGCATGAATTTGCATAGATTTGTATTTGCTGTTACCGTTTACTGGTATCGTGACCCTGGCAAGTTGCTTAACCTCTGTGTGCCTCAGTGTCTTCATCTTTAAATGGGGTTAATACCAGTACCTACCTCACAGTGTTATTGTGACAGTTAAATTGAGTAATTGATGAAAGTGCTAAGAACAGTGCCCACACTTAGTAAGCCCCCAATAATGTATAATAATGATTACTATTAACTCTGTCTGTGTTGCCTGAAAGCTTTTTCATGTCCTCTCTCCCCTTGGCTTAAACTCTTTCTATACTTATAAGAAAATACAGAGATCATAAGGGGTAAGATTGACTGTGGAATGTGTCTGGGGACCAGGTTCTTTGCTGACTTGGATTGGGAGGGCTTTGCATAGCAGGTTGAACCTAATGCAGAAAAGGAGAAGATGGGTGGAGTCAGAGAGAGGAATGAGAAACTCAAGGAGTCAAAAAATTCCTTTGTTTTGTGTTTTTCTTTTTTTCCAGACATGATTTTATTATTATTTTTTACCTTAGCTTCATTATAATTAAGTCAAATATTTAATTATATAGTAAAAATGTTTAGAATGAGCCTGGATTATTTTTGCAGTCAAAAAGTTAAATATTGCTTACATTTTGAACAATTATCACTCAGAAACCTATTACTCTAGTACAATTTTTATTTGGGGGCTCATGTCCAGTCTTTATCCATATATAAACAAATATTCAATAGCTATAATCAAAAGTATACATGTAATTAAATCTACCATTTTACCTAAAATATGTTTAATATTCTTCTTTCTACAAGGTCATATTTATCACTTTAATAATTGCATTCAAACAGCTTCACATTAAAAGCTATAATATACCTCACATTATTGAGCTGAATATAGATTGTTTACATTTTTTCTCTAGTAAAATTATGTCACTATAAATATCTGTGTCCGTGTGGCTCTTTTTCTTTTGAATTAATTCCTAGAGATTACTGAGCCAGAATATTTTAATAGTTTTTTTGGCTGTTGATAAGAATTGATATACTCCCTTCCAAAAGGATTATATCAACTTTACACTCCAACTAGCAATAAATACATATGAGTTTCTGTGAAGCCTCAGCAGTATTTTTTTTCTTTATTTTTTTCCAGTGTAATGGACTGTGTTTTCCTATTAATTCTATTTTCTCTCATATGCATTCTCTGAGCATACTCTTTGCTCATCTTGATGATGTTCTTACACAATTAAAAAAGCTCTAATTCAATACTAGTATTTGCCCTTTCGCATATTTGTTGCAAATTTTTTTTCCATTCTGTTATTTTTCTATTTAATTTTGGTTTAGCGTTTGTTGGTTTTTTCCACCTACAGCACTTTCCTTGCCTGTACCTCGCTCGCTCCAGGGTCTGTTAGTCACTGGCATGAAAAGGGTTTCAAATAAGGATTTTTAGAAAAGTGGAGCCTTAGGGTAGAGTAAGAGAGCTAACAGGATGTGGGCAGGGCACTGTCACCTCTCTCCCCCAGTTTCTTTTTTTTTTTTTTTTAGCTGAGCCATCCTGCTACCTGTTGGCAGCTCAGCGGCTGCTCAGCTTGGGCTGGACTCGAACCGCTGTTGCTCAGAGCTCACACTCTTGAGCGAGCTCTTAACCAACTGAGCCACTCGGCCGGCCCTTCTCCCCCAGTTTCTTCCAAAGCTTTGGTCTCTAAAAAATGGTGCTTACCCAGCACCTCCTTGGCATAGTTTTGTAGCTTTGAGGTTGTCAAAATCTCCACCCAAAATGTTTAAAGGAGAGAAACTATCTCCACCCTGGTCCCCCCCGCCCCACCGGGGCAACACCACCAGCTGAAGGGAAATAGGGGCTGTGACTGCACTTAAGCTTGAGTGAGGCTTGTTCCCACAACGCCAGGGACCAGGAGCACGAGACACTGCCTGGGGCGAGCACACTGAACGAGGGAGAAAGGGCCAAGACAAGAGTGACTCCGCCGTGTCCGCAGTGTGCCAGAGGGACCCTGCCCAGAGCCATGCCCAGCATGGAACCCAGCATGTGTCCCACCCAGAGCTCAGAGCCCAGCCAGTCCGGCCCGTCTCTTGTGTCACCCTTCCTCTCTGTTGCTCTTTGGACTAAGGAAACGCTCCCCTGCCAGCCCGCAGTGGCCCAGGCAGCATGCCGGGGACGCTTACTGACCTCCCCTGCTCTTCTCTTCCAGTTTCCTGCTTCTTCAACTTCACCAGTCCGTCTGGGATCGTCCTGTCGCCCAACTACCCAGAGGACTACGGCAACCACCTCCACTGTGTCTGGCTCATCCTGGCCCGGCCGGAGAGCCGTATCCACCTGGCCTTCAACGACATTGACGTGGAGCCTCAGTTTGACTTCCTGGTCATCAAGGACGGGGCCACCGCCGAGGCCCCAGTCCTCGGCACCTTCTCAGGAAACCAGCTCCCCTCCTCCATCACCAGCAGCGGCCATGTGGCCCGCCTCGAGTTCCAGACTGACCACTCTACAGGGAAGAGAGGCTTCAACATCACCTTTACCAGTGAGTCCTCCCTCTGTCCCCAGCTGACCATCCTTCCAAGCGTGGGGCTCCGAGGATGGCCGAGGGTGCCCCGTGCAAGAGTTGATGTGCAAGGTTGGGCCAGTTGTGGGGCTTTGCAGGGCTGTAGTGCCCAGGCCTGCAGCTCCAGCATGAGCAGGAAAGGCATAAAGCGCTGGCTGCTGAGCAGGGTACGCTCTTCTGTGGGGTCTCTCTCTTGGGCATTTATTCCCTATAGGTGTGAAATTGAATGTAAAAGGAGCCTGGGACCTCACTTCTTTCTCCCATCCCCCGCCTCCTAGCAGGCCCAGCTAGCACCGGGAAGGGCCCAGGGAGAGCAAGCATGTCATCCTCTCAGTTTCTGATCCTCCTCTGGTGTGCTCTCCCAAGGCCTTGAACGCCCACTTACTGCTGACTTCAAGTGTTCCACCGGGGCTGCTCACACCTGACTTTGCCGGGTTCCCATTCCCACAGTCAAAGCAGAAATAAAAGTCTGGAGCAGCGTTTCTGTTTGGCTGTGAGGCTTCTTTGAGCCAGCTCTTGGGGCCCTTTCTCATTGGCCCTCTCAAGGCCACGCTCCAAATGTTGTCACCTCCAGTTTCAATCCTGGGCCCCTTCTAGAAGCAACCTGAAGCTCGGCGTCGATGACTCTTTTCACCTCTGTGTCTCATGGGGTTATAGTCAGTGTAGGGGTGGGGGCAGAAGCTTGGAGACCGAAAATAGCAAGCTGCCAAAGGCAGCAAGGGGGCTTATCAGGTGATAATAAGCTGTAGACCCTGCGACCTTGGCAAATAGTCAAATGGGGTTAAAGCTAGGTCTGCCCAAGCGGTTAACCAGATCCTTTCCAAGAGGCTGCTTGTGAAATGCAAGTTCAGGCTCCACCCCCCAGACACAAACACACACACAGCTGGTGTCCCTGGTGCCTTTTGACAGAACTGACCTCCCCCCAACCTCCCCTCCCCCATCCTTGGCATAGAAGTCGTGCCTCCTTGTCCCACCTGTCCCTGGGGTCTAGTTGAACTGAATACCAAATGGTGGGCCACTGGGGACCTCAGATTCCAAGGGACCACCCAAACTAAAGCCCTTCCCTGACACGCCCCTCAGCACCCTTCTCAGGACCCCAGACTTGCTAGAAACAATCAGCCTTCTCAAGGCACGCCCCCTCCAGGGAGGGCATTCCTGTTCCTTGCATCTCCGGGCAGGAGGAAACAGCCCAGTTCTCTCTTCCACGCAGCTCTAGCTTTTAACTTATCTGTCCTCATCCCTGCTTCCGCACGAGACCACGAGGAAAGGTGGGGAAACGTATCACTTACCTTCCCCTCCCCTCTGCCCACACAGGGTCTGGTACTTGGTAAGGATCAGTAAATGTTTACTGAACGGGAAGGTCTATGAATGGCTCAATGTCTTTCTTCCCTGGTGGGGAGAGAAAGAGTAAAAGTACACAGGGAAGCCCACTTGTCCAGGATGGTGACTGCGGAGACCTCTGCAGGGTCCAAGTAGGTGTGGACACCAATGGGTCACCTACGGCACAAATGGGTGCTCACAGTCACCTAGGAAAAGCACATCCTAGTAAGTCCCCACTTTCCAGGAAAGGGGCAACTGCTGCGTCCTCGGGAGGAAGAGGCAGAAGGCAGGGGCCCTGACCTGAGGACCAAACTCTTACCTCGCATTTCTCTCCAAGACTTCTCCACCTTGTAAAAATGATCCATATCCAATACGCAAATACTCAAAACAACAGGGCAGGCCAAAGACGCAGCGCAAACTGCCACCCAGAACCCCCCACCCAGGAATGATTCTGGCCAACATGTCACAGGCATCAGATATTTTTCTGCGCATCTACACATAGACAGTTGGATGGATACATAGGAATCATTTTTTTAAGTCTAGGCCCCTTCATCCTAGGGCTGATGAATCAGAATCTCTAAGGACCCAGGCCCTGGAATCTACATTTTTTACAGGCTTCTGAGGTGGTTCTGATGCAGATAGTGAAACAATAGTTCACAGACAAGTGTCCAGAAACTAGTGTCCTCTCCCCTGTAGGGTCTGCATCTCCAAGGTCACATCCCAACTGATGATCAGCTGGGCTGAGCTAGAGTCTGCCTGGTGTTGGGGAGCTCACCTCCCAGGCAGCTGCCTCCATAGCGAGAGAGCACTTGGTGCTTCCCCTTACGATGACTTGAAATCTGTGTCCCTGTAACCAGGACCAGAGACCCCGTTTCCACCCCTTGAGCTCCTTAGAGGTAACCTAACCCTTCTTCCACTGGGAGCATCTTCAACAGTGATGATAATAGCTCCTGTTTACTGAGCACCTACTGTGTGAGCACTCTGCAGTCATCACTGCTGACCTCACACCAAAAACTTCCTAAGTGAAGATCTATCGTTTTTCACACACCAGGAAACTGAGGTTTGAAAGGGTACCCAGGTAGAACTGGGTGCTATTTAAACTCTTGACTTAGAGCTGTTGCTCCCAGATGTTGAAAATAGCCCCATATCCCTTTTCTGTGCATATGTGTGTGTGTCTGTCTACACATGTATACATGTATGTGTACACATGTACATGTGTGAGTGTGAGTGTGAGTGTGTGTGTGTGTGTGTGTGTGTGTGTGTGTGTGTGTGTGTGACTGATACAGTTTTCAGTAGACAATCGCCTGGACTTCTGGCTTCAAGCGCCACTTTTCTTCCCACTCCATGTTTCTAAATGTCATGAGGACAGCCTCATGGTCATGGTTCCTAATGAAGAAAGGTTGGGAGACTGAAGTCTGGGCTGACCTAGGCTTTGAATTTCAGAGGGGAGGGTGTTGTCATCACAACCATCTCCATGTCAGATGCCCGCACAGCTCTCCTTCAGTAAGAAGGATCACCAGGTTTGCAAGCGACTTGCCTGCAGCAATACCCAGCAGCCTCCAGGGCGGCTCCTGCTTCTGCCTGTGCAAGTGTTTTCATCACTAGGGAATGTCAGAGGCTTAGAAACTGAGTTCCTTAAAGTGGCACTTGCCCGTACAGCCAGGGAACCTGGGTCCACTGCAAAACCACCGTCCTTCAAACAGCAAAATTGCCAACACGGGGTGGCTTCTGAGACTTGAGTGTGAGAACTTTGGCACCCCTGAGGGAGGAAGGCTGGGGATGTGTTTGGCGGACATGGAGCGGGAACGGGAAGGAGGAAGGGAACCCAGACTTCAGGGGCACTTACCATCTATCAGGAGCTGTTGCAAACATTCTCCACTTGCCTATTCATATCCATTTTTATTTTATTTCTATCCCAGAATGACCCTGCCATTGAAATATGATCTCATTTTATAGGTCAGGAAACAGAGGCTCAGCCAGATTACATAAGTTGCCCAGAACCATGTAACTAACAAGAGGCAAAGCTCGATTAAACCCGAAAGGGTTCCAACTCTTTCCTCCCTACCCCGCTACCGCATTATCAATTGCCTGGGAGAGTGAGAGGCAGCCTGACAGAGGCAAGCGAGTGAAGGAAATGGCTTCAGACAGGGTTGACTCCGGGGCACCTCCTCTATGATGCTCGGTGTCTATTAGTGTCACAGGATTTGGAGCCCAGCTTACCTGCAATGTAACTGATCCCATCAAGAGTGCGAAGTTAAGAAAGCGTGGGATCCGTTTGACAATGAAGAAACAGATCTGCTCCTTATGCTTCCGTTTCCTCATTTGCAAACTGGGGTAATAATATCTCCTTCATGGAATCATTATATCATGTAAATGAGCTAACATGAGAACTACTTAGCGTGCTGCCTGATCTACAAATGTGCGTTAGAACGAAATCGGCTCAGGTGCTCAGAAAGGCGGAGCAAGTATAACGATGACCTGTTGGATGCCCGACATGGCACATCAGTCCCTGGTTCTAGGGTATCTGGCGGGTTATTGGGGAAGCGGTGGAGGTCTAGCATTCACCATCATAATGAGGCCGATATTCTTTGGGGGTCATCTGCACACCATCTCTGCCTAATCATGTCCTTGACCCCCATCCCCACAGCCTTCCGACACAACGAGTGCCCAGATCCCGGCGTGCCTGTAAATGGCAAACGGTTTGGTGACAGCCTCCAGCTAGGGAGTTCCATCTCCTTCCTCTGTGATGAAGGCTTCCTCGGGACGCAGGGCTCAGAGACCATCACCTGCATCCTGAAGGAGGGCAGCGTGGTCTGGAACAGCGCCGTGCTGCGGTGTGAAGGTACGTGCCTGCCTGCGGGGCTGGGGGCCACGGCTGCTGGTGGGAGAGGCTGAGCGGTGGAACGGGTGGCCTGAACCTCGATGGCCCATTTCCGCATTGCCACCCTCTCGCCCTCACACTGGAATCGCAGGGCCTTTATAGTACAATTTGCATAGAAATCTGAATTGTGGGGTGGCCGGATACCTCGGTTTGAGTGCAGTGCTCATAACACCAAGGTTACCGGTTCAATCCCCACATAGGCCACTGAGATGCGCCCTCCACAACTAGAATGAAACAACTACTTGACTTGGAGTCGGGGCAGCCGGATAGCTCAGTTGGTTAGAGCGCAGTGCTCATAACACCAAGGTCGCCGGTTCGATCCCCATGCCCTCCACAACTAGATTGAGACAACTACTTAACTTGGAGCTGATGGGTCCTGGAAAAACATACTGTTCCCCAATTTAAAAAAAAAGGAAGGAAGGAAGGAAGGAAGGAAGGAAGGAAGGAAGGAAGGAAGGAAGGAAGGAAGGAAGAAATTTGAATTGTAACTGGAGATTAAACTGTAACACACTAGTTCTAGACTGTCAGGTATCAAAAACACCTGTTTCAACTGGGAACTCTCGATATCACAGCCGTTAGCGCCCAGCTTGCAGTGCCTGCCCAGGGGGCTCCATGGGCCCAGAGCAGCGCTGGCAGTGCCATGAGTTCTCGCGTCTCCAGGCTGCCTGCCTCGCTTTCCTTCTCCACATGCTGAATTTCCCCAGTGCCCTGGGACATCTCCCAGGCTTGGCCTTTGTGGCCTTGTGAAGTGCTGCTTTGTTATCCTTGTGGTCAGTGTCCAGGAGACGAAGGGCAGACCCGCCAGAAGAAACACAGCTGGGAGCAAGCACAATGTTATTATGGCGTCTCCTCGATCCTGCCTTGCCATCCGGAACAGGTGGTGACTCAATTTCAGAGAGCAGCCACCTGTGCCACCCAGCTGCAGGCGTTTAAAACACAGATGAAGCTTCTTGAGGGCAGGATCATATCCAGTCTGGGTGCCAAGCACAGGATAGACCCTCAGTAAATATTTGTGAGTAATGGATGAGGAGAGCGGATCCCACAGGCTCTTGGAGGCAGTGACGGTGTCCGAGGAGGTCAGGCTGAGGTTCTGTCCTTTTGAGAGCCAGACAGCTTCTTCTTCTCCACTCACTTGATGGACAGAGGTGGAGACCTAAGAGACCGCTCTGCGTACCCTGCCCCCAAACCCAAACCTGAGCACCCTGGCTGGCAGGTGGGAAGGACAGGAGAACACAGAGGGGGTGTGCCTTAGGGGTGTGCCCCAGAGCTGACAGGTGGAAAGGAGGAGAGGAGGGACTGAGAGAACAGTGCACTGGCAGAGGGTCTGTGGGCTTTCGAGGCAGAGCGGCCTCGGCTGGAATCCCGGCAGGTCACCTTTTCCCTCTGAGCCTGTGTTTTTTCATATGAAAGAGGGTAGGGGTGATAATAATAAGATGGGTATATGAAGGGCAGTTCCTGACATAAAGTAAGTACTCAAAAGTGTTAGCTGTGCTCTCAGTAGTTGACCTGTCATTTGCCCCATCTGTAAAGTGTGGTTAATACTGGGAACCCCCTTATGGGGCTCCCATGAACAGGCACCGCTCTTAGAGCAGGGTCTGGCAGAGGCAGCACTCCAGGTGTGTTGTCTGTGAGCGTTAGTTTACCCGAATTTTCACCATTTCCTTATCAGACCAATCCGATGAGTACTGCTTCACTTGGGGTCAAGTGGTGCGTTTCTGTCCTTCCAGGTGCCCCAATCATGACATCAACTGACTACTCTCTGCCCTCCAAAGTCCCATCATGAGGTCCACACAACCCCACGTGCCATTTTTCCCCAGCGGAGTGAGCACTTTTGGAAATTACATGAGTATTAGAAAAATAAAATGAAACTCGTAGCTTCACCTCCTCCCCGCTGTGGATGGTAGATTAGGTCACCCCCTCATTGGCAGCAGTGGGATAATCGTGCGTGTATGATGATGTTGTTAGCAGATAAGCAGATGACTCTGCAAAGCAGCCACGCGGAGCCCAGGGTCTGCAGGTTGTCATTCGGCGGTCATGCACCTTTCCTCAGTCCGGCCCCTCATGCTCCCTCATGCTCATCAATCTCCCCTGACTTCTCCGGTTTTCCTCACATTCATCCATCTTGTCCAGGACACTTCCCTGCGGTCTCTCACTCACCTGATCCCTCCTTTCTCCTAATTCCTTTTCTTCATTGGCCACTGACCGGACCACTGTATGGAACACTTGGTCCACCAAGTGCGTAACATTTTTCTTTACCGGTTCCACGGACCTGGTCCTATCTCCCCACCAAGATTCTCCCCACTCCCGGGGCAGAAGCCCAGGCCCCAGTACCCCTGAGGCTGTGAGGGCTCAGTCCCAATGGAGTTGACGCCCCTGAAGAGGTATCAGGACTCGGTAACTACTGCAGGATCCTCTTTCGTCCACTGCTAACCTCCTGCAGGCGTTCCCAGACCACCGTTCTACCAGCGCAGTGAGACATGCAAGACCGTGTATGAATGCAGCAGAGAATCCAACCTTCATTAATGGCCTTGACACAGCTCACTATTTCATAGGCAAAGTCCTCATTTTCAAATTAAAACTGTCTCATTCGTTCTGTCCCTGGGAGGACAGTAGGCAGCCAAAACTAGGGGGCAGCCTGTTGGAGCGCCCCTGACTTGGCACAGGGACAAGCCGGCTCGGTTTTCTCAGAGTGATGGGCGTTTGCTGCCAGCCTGGTTTTTGGGGACCTGGGGAGCAGCACATCAGCAGGGCAGAGTGAGAGTTGTCGCCTCGTGTGGCCAATCCCAGACTGTGAGCAGGCCAGGTAGAGACACCCGTGGGCCTATGGCCCCTCCATGGCCCCTTTCGCCCCTTATGTCCCAGCCTGGGGAGAACCCTGCTTTGTAATCAGCATCTTTGTCTTTTTCAATTTTCCAGTTTTGTTTTTGATTAAGTATCCCCACCTTGTGGACAATTAAGTACAGGAGCTAATGGTCTTTTTAAAAATCTTTTAATATATGCTAAGAGCCACTTAGCTTTTGAGAGGCTGTAATGGGACAAGGGAGAAAATGGCTTCTTCTCCTAAATTTAGAAAGAAGGATGATCATCTGGCCAATCGAAGGCAGAAGCCAGCAAACTTTTCTTAAAGGGCCAGCTGGGAAGCGTTTCCGGCTTTGTGGGCCATGAGGTCTCTCCTCAGCTCTGCCATCGTTATGAGAAAACAACCCCAGACAACAAATAAATGGATGGGCCGGATTTGGTCCCTGGGCTGTCATGTGCTGAGCCCTGATCTAGAGAACAGAGGACGGAAGGGATCCTATGTTTAAAATCAGAAATTTCCTAAGACCTCCAGGTAGCGAAGGCATCTGTTATACAAAGGACTGCCTGGTCATCTCCCACCACATTCATCTCTTCCTTTTCTCTAAGAAAGAACCGATTAATTATATCCTACTTTGACAAGCATTCTACTTGCTCATTTCAGCCATGCAGCAGTCTAGGAAGTAGGTGTAGTTACTGTCCCCACTGGGACACAGAGAGGTTAAGTCACTTGCCCAGAGTCCTCCCAGCTTATAAGTGACAGAGCCAGAATTCAACCCAGGCTCTTGGCTACACTATTACTGTGTTGTTGTTTTTTAATTATATCACTAGAGAGAATGTCATTTCAAACAAGTTTATGAAAGATTTGAAAGCATCCACAGATAGGATGAAGAGCAGGTTTTCTACTTTCCATATCCCAGTAGAAAATTAAAACAAAAGGCAACATATTGTCTATCGCAAAAGACAACGACGGGACACCACTTAGAAGTGTCAGAAATTGTCAGCATAAAACAAAATGACAGCAGGAAGACAAACATATCAGTTATGACAATAAAGGCAATTAAACTCTCTATTAAAAGACAAAGACTCGAACTGGATTTTTAAAACAATATATTGCTTATAAGAAATACGTTATAAAAAAGGAGATAAGTTATCTACAGTGACTATGTATTTTCATTTTTAAAGTAATACTCGGTGGTTGTAAAAAAATTTAAATCATATACAAGTACAATAAAGCTCAAGGTGGAAATGTTCACTTCCCAATTCCACTCCCCAGAGGAAAATGGTTGACTAGTATGGTATGATGACATCCGCATTTATTTCTCTGTTCTATACCAAATGTGTTACTCTTATCATCAGAAAATTAAAAAGTCCTATAAGAAAGGAAAAAGGTCAATTCTCCCCACTCCTGCAAGAGGAATCTAAGTGGTGCCTGTAGCCCACTTAGGCCTCCAAGGAAGAAGTAAGGGTCGGGCTGAGGGAGAAGGTGAGGGGTTAGAAAGCACAAATTGGTAGCCGCAGTATTGCCATGGGGATACGAAAGACAGTTTGGGGAATATAATCAATAATGTAAAGATTTTGTAGGGTGTCAGATGGGCACTTGTCTTATTAGGGAGACCACTTCATGGACAGTGTAGATGCCTGACCACTGCATTGTATACCTGAAGCTGAAGCTGAATAATGTTGTATGTCAACTATAATTTAGTCACAGGATGTGGAGTACAGCATAGGGAACAGAGTCAATGAAGTTGTAACAGCTATATACGATGTCAGAGGGGTAGTAGATTGGGGGAGGGGAGGTTATCACTTTGTGAAAGGTGTAAATGTCTAACTATTACATTGTTTTGTATACCTGAAACTAATAAAAAAAAAGAAGTAAGGATAGTTATTGAGTATCTAACGTTACCCTATTTAATCTTCTTGTCACTCTTGGAGAAAGGTATTATCATGCTTTATACATAAGAACTCTGCGAGCTAGTGAGGTGACCTGACTTGCCTGAGGTCACACAGCTAGTAATTAATTGAGCAGTTACTATGTGCTAAATACTAGGCCAAGTGCTTTATGTACTCTGTCCTGTTGAATCCTCCTGACAACCCTTTGAGGCAGGTACTGTTATTATCCTCACTTCACAGATGAGGAAACTGGAGCGCAGAGTGGTTAAGTA